CAGGGGTGCCAAGCCCAGGGCTCTGAGCATCCTGCAGCCTCCTCCCAGGCTCACACCCTTAGCAAGAACCCTAGAGGAGAACCTTCAGAGCACACAGCTACTAGGCTAAGCGGGTGGCCACCCCCTCCCCCGCGTGGCGGCCGGGTGGAAACGCCTGTGTCCCTGGAAAGAACAGCACCTTGGGAGGTGAGACAAACAGGAAGGGAGGAAAGCAGGCCAGGCCTCTGATTGGTCACAATCCACTTAGGAAAATTGGCTCTGCATCACAAATGCAGAACAATCGGGCAGGCTCAGGACAAGCAGTGGGGGGGCCCTGTGCTCCCCGCCCCTCACTTCTCCTGGGAAAGTGGAATCCAGTGCAGGGTGGGTGGCACGTGTGTGCGTGTGTCCAGGATCACATGCGGCCCCTCCCACCAGCCATGTGCTTGTCCCCGCAGTGGGGTCCTGAGAGGCCTAAATAGGGCACCGTGCACTTGTCCCTCAGGGGGGTCAAAAGGCTGTGCATGGCCCCAAGGAACCCCCCTGAAGGCAGAAGGGCAGGGGACACACAGTTTTGCAAGACTACAATCAACAAAATGTGTCTGCTCTTTCTCTGCGGGCAACAGGAGATTGGCCTAAGGGGGGGGTGGTAAGTGGGTAAGTCTTGGGAGAGAAGAGCTGGACAAAAGAGACCGGCTTAAGTGGGGTGGGATGGAGGAGAGGAAGTGTGCAAACATACACCCCCCAACCTAGTGGTAAACAAGAAACCACCCAATGGGGTGCAAATCCATCCCTTCCAGAACCCTCTATGTGACCCAGAGAGAGTGCATCCTGATGAGTGCATCCTGCTCTTTTGTGGCTGAAGAAGACTGGGAGGGGAGCACCAGCTTCCTATCGGCTGCTTTGAAGGTCCCACGATGGTCCTGAAAGTGGCCTGGCACTTGGTAAGGACACACTGCCCTGTTGAAGTCATACCAAATGCCTACCATAAGCAGTGAGCCATGAAGTATCTGGGAAAAAGGTGAGTTACCAAATTCTTGCAACAATCCTCTGTGTTCTGTTGTCTTCATTTTATAGAAGAGAAAGAGGCTCAGAGAGGTTGCTCAAGTTGCTCAAGGTCACACAGCAGAACTAAGGTTTGAACCCAAGAAATAAAATATCTGGACTGGGCCCCCCTCTTGGCACAGCAGGAGCCCAGCTGCAGTGGCCTCAGCCAGGTCCTGAGGCACCAGCCAAGGATGAGGGTACTTGAGCGTTCCTGGGGGCTACTCTGCCTGATCCTGTTTAAAGGTTATCACCTAGCCCCTTAGACATACCTCATGATCACCCTCAACACAGTCACCTTCACTTTCTAGTGTAGTAGTAGTAGATCAGTCCATTTTAATGGTATCACAAGGCCACAAAGAATTCTCAACAAGTGAGGAATTTATTACACAGTCAGAGTCAAGGAACTCAGCATGAATTTATTCCTAAAAGCTCGGTCGCCATTTAGAAAAATACCCAGTATAATTGCACATCCATGGTCATCGTGGCTCCACTCACAATAGCAAGAAAATGGAATCAGCACAGACGCCCATCAATTTGGATGAACGGATACTGAAAATGTGGCACACACACACATACACACACACACACACACACACACACACACACACACACACACACACACACACTGTGGAGTTTTTATTCATCCACAAAGAAAAATGAAATTTGCAGGGAAATGGGTAGATATGGAAATCAATCTCTCTCTCTCTCTCTCTCTCTCTCTCTCTCTCTCTCTCTCTCTCTCTCACTCACTCACTTTTCAGGGACCTGGGAAGACCCTTCCCCCTGGGCTGCTTTGACAGACCAACAGCTGTTCACAGATGCCACTGGCTAGCTGTTCCAGTCATGACACTAAACTTGGAGGTCACAGAGCCTCCCCTCCTCTGGAGGTCTCGGCCTCTCTTGTGGTGACCCTGATGCCAGGCTGGGGCTGGGCAGGAGTGGGCAGGTTGTCCAAAGCCCCCCGACTTGGTTCAGTCTGAACCACAAGACCTGGAGAAGGTGGATTGCCTCTCCGGCCTCTGTGCTGGTCTGTTCACTTCAGGGTGTGACCCTGAAGTTCACCCAAGGAACCAGATGGAAGTGTGCCTTGAGAACAATGGTGCTGAGGTATGGACAGGTAGAGGACCTGGAGCCTTGGCTCCCTCAGGCTCCGTGGTCCACTGTCACCTGAACCCCTTAGAGGGAGTTGGTCTGGAGACCTGCCTGTGACCAGCTCACAAAGAGGGGGAGGGGCTAACCAACAACATCGGACAGCACATTAACCCAGCCAGATCAGAGTCTAGTTTCTGGCTCAGGGCTGATAGATGGTTCAGAAAGCTGCCCAGCTGTGGCGGGATGCAGGCACATGCCCAGTGTCCCACACTGGAGGACAGGCACCCATCATCCTTTTAGAGGCCAGACTTCGCTCCCAGGGTGGAGGTTCCAGGACAAAGCTGCAGCTTGGCGGGAGGGTCTTGACACCTCCATCACGGACCTTTGTCCCTGGGGCCGAGGGACCGTGGCACAGTTCTAGGCATCTATTTACAGCAGAGCGGGGCCATGTGTCCAGGGCTGGCTGGCACAGGATAAGGAGGGAAGGAGTGAGTGGGTAAGGGAGGTACGTGCAGAGCTGCCCCACGCTGGGCACATTCATCATCAGTAATCACAGTGGTTCTTCAGCTTCTGGACACCGGCTAATTCTCCCAGCCCCGACTCCCACTGCATGGAAAATCTCTCCCATTCACTGCAAACTGCCGTGCTCAGTGGGGAGCAGGCCGAGCTGGAGGAGACCAGCCAGCTTATTATTATGTTTTAAAAACACAAACCCCACAGACTGGATCCCTTCCTGGACACAAAGCCCTGCCTCCATCTGGCCCTGGCTCCTATGGGGTTCGGGCCGTGGTCCCCCTCAGAGGCTGTCACAATGCCTGTTACTGAAGACAAATGGGGGACTGGCCAGCTTGGAGGATACCAAGTTGCTCCTAACAAAGAAGGTTGTCTCTCACCCAAGCCCTGTTCCCACACCCTCCACAGACCCATCTCTGTGCCCATGATGTCATTTCCTGTGATGGCCACCGGAAGTGGCCTTTCCAAGAGAGCCAATGGGGGCAGGAACCTGTACCCCGAGAGGAGTCCCGATGCTCCTGCGAGGTCCCCTCCAAGGCCCAGGCATTGGGCTAGAGTAGCGATACTACTTAAAGAATGGGGATGGACACATAGTCCTTGAGTCACCGGGCCACCCAATTCACAGAGGCACTTGGGGAAGTTATGCTACACACCGTCCCTCCAGACCCTTCCCCTGAACCCCGGACCCCTGGGCATGGACACCTCTACAGTTAATTTCAGTCCCAGCCTGGGGGGGGGGGGCAAGAGCTCTGAGGACATGTCATCTGCTTCCTCCTCTCCTGGGTAAGGGGACCAAGGCCTCTCTCATCCACCTAGTCCAGAAAAATGACCTCTGATCCCACTCAAGGCTTTTTACAGACCTTTGTGGTACCACACACTCACCAGCCACGCAACAAGCCTGTGTCGGCACTCCATTTTACAGGGCCAGAACCTGAGGCTCAGAGAAGCCAAAGGGTACATCCAAGATCACAGCTACTAAGAAACCCAGCAGCACTCTCTCCAATCAAACACACTGATGATCCTGTGGGCCCATGGGAACAGCTTTGTCTGTCTCCTCAGAGGTAAGGACTAGGCCTCAGCCCCTTAAATCCACCATGTGGGCCCCCTTCCTCTTGGCCTAACTCTCCCAATGCTCCAGACCTGTTTGTGGGCGCCTTCAGATCGCATGGCAAATACCCCTCCTTGTTACTGCTTCCCAGCCTGCAGCCCTCCGCCCCCCAGACCTTCCCCATGGAACTTGCTTTTTCTTTGACCCCTGGACCCACCCTGCCCCCAGCCTGGAGGGGTCTTGAGAGTCCTCAGCTATCCTTCCAACAGCTTTCCTAATCCTGTTTTAGACACCCACTCACCCATCCAGAGCCCCTGGGATCCCCCCCCCCATCTCTACCCCAGGGCCTCTTTGAAATGAAGCCCTTCCCCAGATTCATGGCTCTTGTGTAGCCATTTCAGCTCCAATGCCAGGGCCTCGGGGCCTTCCTAAGACAAGCCTCCCCACACTACCCATTCTCATCTTCACCAAAGGATGCTCACACTCCCGTGTCCTTGGAGTAGAGACCTAAAGCCACCTAGGTCACTGTAAAGCAAACTTCTTGCGAGTCTGGGGCCCTGTCTGTCTGTGGAGCTGGGCCCACTGGGAGGGCAGGCTTTTGTCTGGCTATGCTGGCCAGCCTCTTTGGAACTGGGGTAGCAGTTGGGGTACAGGGAGTGCCTGGGCCATGGGAACCAGCCCCCTTAGAAACTAGCCCCTTTGGAAACCCCGGATCCTCATAGCTCATCGGATCATTGTCCTCTGAGACCAGAGAGGGT